CTTAGAACTCCTCTGCCTCAACAACATAAGCCAAAGGGCTGCCTCGGGAGCAGTGCATGAAGGCTACAGACTTCCTGTGGTTGCTCCCCCACTAGTATTGAGAGGTAGACAGCCCTTGAGCATGGAGGTTTTACAACACTGCAAGCACACCGTCCAGATGTTACTGGGATTTGTAACCATTCATTATGCTGTGGGACTCATGAAGATTGGAACAGGTCCTCTCCCCCACAGACTAAAGGAATGAGGAAGAATGCAAACTACGTTAACGTTGTCATTGTCTTGAGAGTTGAATGATGTGGCAAAAGGATCTTTTGGTTTTGTCCTGCAAACTCACAGCGAATAATCCTATTGAGTGATGAGAGTCAGATTGTCTATGCTCAGGTGAGCCAGGCCATTGCGTGGCATTAATTCACAAACCTTGAGCATTTCCTTAGCATAAGCGCACTTCACTTCTCCATGGATAGTCACTTCTCAAGGGTACCATTTTTACTACAGCCTTTATGATTTTATATTGCTTCATGCCACTCTAACACGCACGGGGAGGGGGGCAGGGTTGGAGTTGGGGGGTTGATGCGCAAGGCTTCCTCTGGCCTTGTGAAAACTCAGCCTTATTTAGAAATATATTTAGCTTATGGCAGGCATTAAAGTCCAAAGAAGCAAGGCGGGGCGTCGTCGGCGTTTGGAATCCTAGAGCATGGAATTTGATAGTCTCATTAATCTGAAAGGAAAAAAAATTCCTTGAAAGGGAGGGAAGTAAGGAAAACAACAACAACAGTGCAAAACCCTATAAATCAGATTTATATTTCCTGTTGGGAGATCTTTGTGTGCTTCTTGTTCTTTGCAAGAGGGGAAGCAAAACTTAAAAGTGGACAAAATATAAAAGTTGGGAAGAAATGAACGGTCATACAGTGGGTCATTCTTTGGGTGGCCTGAGCAGTTGCTGCTTTTCAGCCTCTGTGGAAAATGGTCTAATTGGTGGGTCCTTGTGAAGACACATGGCTAGAATTTATTTATTTATTCAAAATATTTTTACCTTGCTTTTCTGCTTGAAAGAACCCAAGGAGGCTCTCATCATTAAAAGGACACTATAAAAAAGCTAAAAAATGTAGGTGCACAAATAGTAAAAAGAAAATTAAACAAGCATCTTATTAAAAATGGTCAATAAAATCAATACTAAAAAAAAACACATTTAAAAGCAACAGAGCACAGAACCCATCCCAGAGTTATTAAGGAAAAGCCTCTCTGAAGGGAAAGGTCTTTGCCTGCTTGCGGAAAGACAGCAAAGATGGTGTCAGCCTGGCCTCCAGTGGGAGGGAGTTCCAGAGTCTGTTTTCTCTTCTGTAAAAGAGCTGAAACTTCAATATGTCTGTTTTTCCTTTCACAAAACAGTGGCCCATAGCAGATAGCAAAACCTACAACGGACAAAAACGTATGTTAAATAACTGCCATACGATGTACGAAACAGCTCCATCTTTTATTAACATCAGTCCATAGTGCATTATTTTTGGAGTTTTTGCTTCCAATTAGGACCGGGCACGAGGAAGGCCTCACAAGGGTTGTAACTTACTGTACCTACTGTGGCATTTGCTGTGGTTATATTACAGGCTGGTTCAGTTGTTTTTCCTTTTTCTGACCACGAGATGCACAAGCCAATTTGAATCATTCCTGCCTTCTTTGCTCCCAACACAGATGTTTTTCTCCACAGCTTGGGAACTTCTAGTTTATTCAACCTGGAATAATTTGAATGGTATTTTCCCTATTTGATCAATTGATTTTTGTTCTTGTAAAGACAGGAGCATGTCTGTGGGTAGTACATCTGGGGTGTGATGTTCAGGACTGTTGGAACACCTGCCCCCACGTTCTCTCTCCCCGATCATCCTCAAATTATTTATTTTTTATTTATTATACATTTGTGAGATTGGCGCTTGATCACCTTATACCTGCCATTGATACACTAGTTTAGTGCTAGATCACTTCTGGAGGAGGGGAGGAAGTAAAAATTACAAACAAAACAGTCAACAACAAAAAATTAAAGACAAAAATGTTATGGAACCTTAAAGATGAACTGCTATATTTTGATGTGAGCTTTTATGGAGAAGGCCACTTTTTTTCCCAGCAGCAGAGATTAAAAAACACATTGGAAGGCCACTTCCTCAGACCAGCTTGGGAAAAAAGGAGACGCTCCCAGCAGCAGAGATTAAAAAACACATTGGGAGCAAAAACGGCTGGAGTGATTCAAACTGAACAAAATAGAAACAACCCAGGTCAAATAAGACATTATTGTGGTATGTGGAATTCCTGTACATGTTAAGAAGGATTTTGAATGCAGCCACCTTTTCCAGAACACTGTGCAAGCCTTTCAAAACCAAACGGCTTGACGGCAACCCATAAAAAGATTGGCAGAGGTGGGACCAGACATGTGGAATTCCTGTGTATGTTAAGAAGGATTTCGAATGCAGCCACCTTTTCCAGAACACAGCGCAAGCCTTTCAAAACCAAGCGGCTTGACGGCAACCCATAAAAAAATCGGCAGAGGTGGGACCAGAGGAGAGAAGGAAGAAAGGGGAGGGCTGTGGGCTGAAAGGCAAATTGAATGGCATTAAGAGTGACCATTAAAACTCCTGAATCAATCTGTAGCCCCTATGTTGACTGAGAATTACAGCCATAATACAAGCTGTGAATCAAACTTCAGCAAAACTGAATTGGAGCGATTTGGCTTGTCACTGTAGACACAGCTAGAGATGGGCACAAATTGCTGCCCATCTCTAAATGTGATGGGCAGTAGTTTGGACAGGTATTTGGCTGATGTCCATTCAGAGGCAGTGGCCTGGTTTCCCTGACCTGCCTCCCTGACCTTCCAGGTGCTGCCTGAGTGGGTACCTGCCAGATGAAGTGGGGCTTTGAAACACCAAATACCTGTTTGGACGGTAAACAAACCAGTACGAACCACCAAACCCATGGTCTGTGCCCATCTCGAGTCATAGCCTAATTTGGACAAGGAGCAGAAATCGGAGACGTTACTATTCAGACTAGATGTCCTAGAATCTTCCAAAATGTAGTTTTCCCAAGCCATGATCAGAACCACAGTGCACAGGGAGCAGGATCCATTTTCCATCATCAACCTGAGGTGGTGGTGGGGAAACATCTTATTGGCAAAGAGAAAGAAAATGTTTTTAAAAGTTTAAAAAGCTTCCCTTGTTTTTTAAAAAAGGAAAGCTTTTTAGAAATCATTACTCAATGTGCGTGGGAACTTTTGCTTTGACTGTGAAAAGTTAAACTTCTTAGCACCATATATTTTGCCCTGTCTTGATCCCTCCCATTTCCTTTTGGAAAAAAAAAAAACCTATCCAAAACCTTGATGCCTCATTCAGTGATGTATTGAAAGCATGGGTGAAGAACATGGCCTTCCAGCTGTTATTGGAATGCATTTCCTAGTATTCTTTGCCACTGGGCATGTTGGCTAGGAATGATGGGAGATGCAGGTCAACAGATTGCCCACCCTCTACAGTGGAGCCTCGACTTAGGAATTAATCCGTATTGGAATGGTGGCTGCAGGTCAAAAAGTCTGTAGGTCGAGGCTCCATTGACCTACAATGCATTGAAAACCGATTAATCCGTAACCGGACGTTTTTGTTCCATGTTGGGTTTTTTTTCTGGTCTGTAGGTCGATTCTCCGGCTGCAAGTCGAACCTAAATTTTGTGGCCAGAGAAGTCTGTAACTCGAAAAGTCTGTAAGTGGAGCCATCTGTAAGTCGAGGGTCCACTGTACTTTAAGTCAAGGTGTGTTCCTATAATGATTTGGTTTGATGCTATGATTTGGACACATCATGAGAAGAGAAGACTTGCTAGAAAAAGACAATAGTGCTAGGAAAAGTTTAAGGCAACAGGAAAAGAGGAATAACAAATATGAGATAGAATTACTCCCTAAGGAAGCCACAGGCTTGAATCTAGAAGAGTTGAGCAGGGCTGTTGGCATTTTGGCAACTGCTCATTCGTAGATGCTTTTGAATTGTGGTGCTGGAGGAGCCTCTTGAGAGTCCCCTGGACTGCAAAGAGAACAAACCTATTAATTTTGAAGGAAATCAACCCTGAGCGCTCACTGGAAGGACAGATCCTGAAGCTGAGGCTCCAATACTTTGGCCATCTGATGAGAAGAGAAGACTCCTTGGAAAAGACCCTGATGTTGGGAAAGTGTGAAGGCAAGAGGAAAAGGGGACGACAGAGGATGAGATGGTTGGACAGTGTCATCGAAGCTACCAACGTGAATTGGACCCAACTCCGGGAGGCTGTGGAAGACAGGAGGGCCTGGCATGCTCTGGTCCATGGGGTCATGAAGAGGTGGACAGGACTTAACAACAACATTCATAGGATTGCCATAAGCTGGAGGGGCCTCCCTGACACATAATGATGACAATGAAAGTCCTTTACTGTATATGCTTAGTTAGGAGTATTTGTTTTTATTCCTTTAAAATAAACAGGAAGTATAAAATATTTTAAAAGAATCAAACAAGCACCGCACTGAAAGGTAAACAAAGGCAATATCAAAACCCCATGCAAAATAACGAGGCACAACAATGCATTTCAAAATGTCTCTCAGAGAGACCGTCTCTGAGGGAAAGCTGGCCTGAAGACAACATCTTGGCCTGCTTGCCGGAAGGACAGCAAAGATGGGGCCAGCCCGGCCTCCAGTGGGAAGGAGTTCCAGAGGCTTGTAGTAGCGGTAAATCCACGACTCAGTAACACACGGATGGGTACAGTGTTGCTTGCTGGGTGATGCTGATGTACAGTTCTCATCAGCCTTAGAGAGCGTAGTCAGAGGTGAAGGATGATGGGGGCCATATTTTGCAACCTTATGGAGTAGCTAAAATCGTCAGCACGTCAATTGCTTTGCCAAACCCCCATCTCGGGCTAGCGAAGGAATTCTCTGAACCTCCGAAGCTTCCTCGCAAGTCACCAACACGGCGATCACCGACCCCTAATAACGGCCCTACAATAACGCCATGGATTCGGGCTTGACTTCACCAGACATTTCCCTTTTTCCCTTGCACCCTCACGCGGTGCCCGGCGCTCGGAAGTCGGTGTCTCTGAGTCTGGAGGACTCCGCAGAGAAGTGGGCACAGGATTCTGGAGCCACTCCGAATCCGCTGCTCCGGTGCGCACTTAACCCTTTGGGGAAAGCGCCCGGGCCCTTCTCTTCCCCCTTTCCTCCCCTTTGGGAATCAAAGACACACAACTCCTGGGGGGTGGGAGATCCCCAGCCGGTGGGGGGTCCTACTCCCGAGTAGCCGGTGCAAGGGGTGCGCGCTAGGGTGCCAAACTTGGCAGCCCGCTTCCCATCGCCCTTCTTCCGCCCCCTAGCCTCAGTCCAGAGCGCGCTCGCTCGCCCGCCCGCCTCTCTCGCATGCCGTCTCTCCCCAAAACCGGAGTGACTCCGCTTTTTCCCTCTCCCCCTAACTCCGGCCG